TTAGATAGGACGCATGTATGCGTGCATAGGCTTTAGATAGGACGCATGTATGCGTGCATAGGCTTTAGATAGGACGCATGTACGCATGCAAAGGCATTAGATAGGACACATGTATGCATGCACGGGCTTTAGATAGGACACAAGTATGCATGCAAAGGCATTAGATAGGACACATGTATGCGTGCATAGACTTTAGATAAGACACATGTATGCATGCATAGGCTTTAGCTAGGACACATGTATGCACGTATAGGCTTTACATAGGACACATGTATGCACACATGGGCTTTAGACAGGATGTGCATGATACCATGCATGTGTACTAGTGCACACACTCACACCACACATATTGGAAAGGAGGGGTGTCCTGGCAACAGGAGGGTCTTGTGCAGAGATCCGGAGGCACGTCTGACAGCACAGTCTGATGGGGAAAAGCGGGAATCCAGTGCAAGAACTGGAGATGGCAGAAGATGAGGAGCCATGAGCTGGGGCCAAATTCCGGCAGCTCTCAGCAGAGTCCCCCTGAGCCTCTTAGACATAGTCCTGAAGGCTATGGAAACTGCTGGAGAGCTCCGAACAGGGGATGGCACAGCCACAGTGAAGTTTAGAAAAATCACCGTGGCCTCACTGCGGGGTGTAGTTAAGGAGCAAGAGAACAGGCAGGAAGAGCAATGGGAAGGTGAAGGCAGATGTCTGGGTGGCCTTGCAAAGGTGGTGGGGGCAGGCAACATTTAGAAGGGGACAAAGCGAGATACTAAAGGGGATGAGAGAGCAGGGCTGGGGAGTGATTGATGTAGAGAGTGACAGGGGAGGCACTATGGATGTAAGAACAGGGCTGGACAGCCACAGCCACCATCCATCAGTAGAAGGCCACCATCCACTGTGGCCACCATCCATCAGTAGAAGGCCACCATCCACTGTGGCCACCATCTACCAGTAGAAGGCCACTATCCACCAGAAGAAGGACACCATCCACCAGGAGGCCACCATCCACCAGGAGAAGGCCACCATCCCCTGTGGCCACCATCCACCAGGAGAAGGGCCTGCCGGAACTCTCTTCCCTCCTCCCCTCCCCCTGCCATTCATCCACCTCTGAGGTGACAGCGGTGTCACAATGTACTGCCACAGTCAGGGTGACCACCTATGAACCCCCTATGATTGTGAGAAGGAAATTGCAGGTACTTGCGTGGGAAATGCTGCAGTATCCAGCTGGCTGCACAGGTGGTGGGGGTGGGGAGCGGGAGCTGAAAAAGGAAGAAAACTGAAGGGGACAGATGATCCTGATGAAATGGAGATTGGCTTTTTATTTTTTAAAAAATGCAAGTGAAAGAGAATGCAGCCCCAAAGAGTACCTAGAGCAGAATGGGATCCTGAGTCTTCGCCTCGGAGGTAGCTCCCTTCGTGTCTGGTAATTTTTCTTCTTGAAGGTGAGGGGTTTGCAGTCCCTGTTCCAAGAACTGAAACCTCACGTCCTATTTCTTGTAGACTTTGGCTTTTGTTGAATGGGAGATGCTGGAATCTTTTCCGCAGGAGACCAAACCAAGTCGTCCTCTTGGCTACACTTCCTTGGCCCTGGCTTTAGTTTTGGGGGAAAGAGGAGAGTGCTGAGGAATTGATAGAGTGGAGAATGCACAGGGGGATGCAGGAGGAGGAACGGGGCTCCTCCCAAGGGCCCTTGGAAGAAAAGCCCGGAAGGAAGCCCTGGTGACGCTGCTAATGT